ATTTATTGTTAACTGTTACAATGGACCAACATTATTATTGTTAACTGTTACAATGGACCAACATTATTTATTGTTAACTGTTACAATGGACCAACATTATTTATTGTTAACTCTTACAATGGACCAACATTATTTATTGTTAACTCTTACAATGGACCATCATATATATTGTTAACTGTTACAATGGCCCAACGTATTTATTGTTAACTGTTACAATGGCCCAACGTATTTATTGTTAACTGTTACAATGGACCAACATATATATTGTTAACTGGTACAATGGACCAACATTATTTGTTGTTAACTGTTACAATGGACCAACATTATTTATTGTTAACTCTTACAATGGACCATCATATATATTGTTAACTGTTACAATGGATCAACATATTTATTTATTGTTAACTGTTACAATGGATCAACATATTTATTTATTGTTAACTGTTACAATGGACCAACATTATTTATTGTTAACTGTTACAATGGACCAACATTATTTATTGTTAACTGTTACTTACAATGGACCATCATATATATTGTTAACTGTTACTTACAATGGACCAACATATTTATTGTTAACTGTTACTTACAATGGACCAACATATTTATTGTTAACTGTTACTTACAATGGACCAACATATTTATTGTTAACTGTTACTTACAATGGACCAACATATTTATTGTTAACTGTTACAATGGCCCAACGTATTTATTGTTAACTGTTACAATGGACCAACGTATTTATTGTTAACTGTTACAATGGACCAACATTATTTATTGTTAACTGTTACAATGGCCCAACATTATTTATTGTTAACTGTTACAATGGACCAACATTATTTGTTGTTAACTGTTACAATGGACCAACATTATTTATTGTTAACTGTTACAATGGACCAACATTATTTATTGTTAACTGTTACAATGGACCAACATTATTTATTGTTAACTGTTACAATGGACGAACGTATTTATTGTTAACTGTTACAATGGACGAACGTATTTATTGTTAACTGTTACAATGGACCAACATTATTTATTGTTAACTGTTACAATGGACCAACGTATTTATTGTTAACTCTTACAATGGACCAACATATTTATTGTTAACTGTTACAATGGACCAACATATATATTGTTAACTGTTACAATGGACCAACATTTATTGTTAACTGTTACAATGGACCAACATTTATTGTTAACTGTTACAATGGACCAACATATTTATTGTTAACTGTTACAATGGACCATTAATCACAGCTGTTAATTGTTAGCTATTTTTGTTCATTTTGAAAAAAATACGTAACCTTCGCGCTTATACACACGTTTTCAAGATAAACAACACCATATGCATAACACGTGTTAAGAAAACATGGTCAGAGACCCCAAGGTTCAACTATAACTAGCCCTAATTTAGAACTGTTGGCCAAAGGTAGGAGAAGCCAGCAGTAACCACCGCCTACGGAACCACACTTAACCGAATAGTGGACAAGACTGGCACAGTTGTAACACTCCAAATCGCTAAGGCAGAGTGCCATATCGAACCTTGGACTTCTGTTCGCAACCCATCTGTAACCACTGGCCCCCCTTCCCACCCATTATACAAATATATTTTCTGCTCTATTGTTGTTGCATCAGATACGGGTTTGTTTGTCGTTGTTTAATTCGCGATTTATATGCACATAAACAGCTACTTAAATTGATTCAAATTTGACGAAGTCCATTGTGTTGTTTTATTTTGTTCCCTTCTTGCAAAGTTTTTTTTTTTTTATAAAACACGTCCGGATGTGGGAAACATTTTAAAAATCAAAGAAACTTCTTTAACTAAAAAAATCGTTTTGTTTTCAACATGGCCGAGAAAGACTTCAAGCAAATCCTGAATACGTTTGAAATAACATTACTGTACGTTACTTCAATGGCAATTTAACACGGTTATTTAAACATTTCAAAGAATATTTTACAACAAATATCAACAAACTTCTGAAAGTGAAATAAATGTGGTCAAACATAAAACAAGAACAAATAAATCAAAGCTGTTCTAGAAACATGAAAACTGATGAATTACACCTGAAATAAAGAGAACACCAACCTTATTTCCCCTAATTATCTCTTCCCCCCGGTGTTTTTTATAAAGCTTACCTCGTGTGACAACGACAGTAATCCAACAAATAATTGTTTATAAAGCTTACCTCGTGTGACAACGACAGTAATCCAACAAATAATTTTTTATAAAGCTTACCTCGTGTGACAACGACAGTAATCCAACATATATTTTTTTATAAAGCTTACCTCGTGTGACAACGACAGTAATCCAACAAATATTTGTTTATAAAGCTTACCTCGTGTGACAACGACAGTAATCCAACAAATAATTGTTTATAAAGCTTACCTCGTGTGACAAATCACAAGAACTCTCCCTGACAACTGTTACTCGGAACACTTGATAAAATAAAGTAGATAAATATGAACAGGAAGCAAAAATAACTTACAAACACACAGCCATCTTCTACAGTTACATGACAACAACGTATAGTTACAATAGTTCCCAGAAGCCACAACAAAATACAAACACACAACCATCTTCCACAGTTACATGAAAACAAAGTATAGTTACAATAGTTCCCAGAAGCCACAACAAAATACAAACACACAACCATCTTCCCCAGTTACATGACAACAACGTATAGTTACAATAGTTCCTAGAGGCCACAACAAAATACAAACACACAACCATCTTCCCCAGTTACATGACAACAACGTATAGTTACAATAGTTCCCAGAAGCCACAACAAAATACAAACACACAACCATCTTCCACACTTACATGAAAACAAAGTATAGTTACAATAGTTCCTAGAAGCCACAACAAAATACAAACACACAACCATCTTCCCCAGTTACATGACAACAACGTATAGTTACAATAGTTCCCAGAAGCCACAACAAAATACGGTCACAGTTAGCACTCATTAACACGTTAGGGAGAAAAAAGTTTGGATTCGAGAGCACAAGAGACACACACAGGAGTCTGTAATAACCCACTTATACCAGATCGTACGAAAATAATGGGGTATGAACCCCACACGAGAAAACGAAAGATATTTGAAATAGTAGAAGTCATCTAAACGCCTCTTCAAAGCATTCGGCTAACCCAGCTGATTTAAGACCTAAGGGAAAGGCCCCCAGATCAACGTAGAGTTCATCAGTCTCTTTATCAAGAAGACGCCAGGATCGAGACCTGGACTCCACCATCACAGTATCAGCACTTCTCGGAACTTCATTCAGCACAATAGCAGCAAAGTTAGTAATTAAAAATTGGGCCACGCCCAGCTTATGTTTGATGGCTATCTCTGCATGGATCTGTTTTATGTTTCTTTGTCCATCTGGACTACAGCACACAATGAACTAAACGATGAAGTCAGAGAAGCCTAAAGTTCTGGCATGTTTCCCTTTCCAGCAGATCAAAGGAAAGACAGTCAATCGGCAACATCCGCTATTTGACTGTCACTCTTATAATGCACACGCAACTGAAAGTGAGAAGCGTGTTTAATGGTATCACACATGGAATCCGGGACCCTCGAAATCCCAGCCTGATGCGTTAACCAATCGGGCTTGCTGGGATCGACCCCCGAAGTCTAACGTTATACGCACTCAGTCTTATGAAACTTATTCTGTTTTGAATTCGTACTGTTGTAGCAGTGAATAATTAATAACTTCGATCACCTCTTACTGTCCAGATGTACGTATCAGCTTTTCTCACTTTCAGAGTTACACCATGGCTGTTCAACTTGACCCTGGAATTGGCCACGCCCATCTAAATCTTGGTGTCATCCATCATCTAAAGGTAAGTTTCTGTTTCACTACAGTCACACATACAGCTGTAAGATGTACTGTTATAACACCTGTGTTATAGATATAGTACTTGTGTTTATGTACAGTACCTGTTTTGAAGTAGAATACCCGTGTTTAGGTATAGTACCTGTTTTGAAGTAGAATACCCGTGTTTGGGTATCGTACCTGTTTTGAAGTTTAGTACCTGTGTTTAGGTATAGTACCTGTTTTGAAGTAGAATACCTATATTTGGGTATGGTACCTGTTTTGAAGTAGAATACCTGTTTTTGGGTATAGTACCTGTTTAGGTATAGTACATGTTTTGAAGAAGAATACCTGTGTTTAGGTATAGTACCTGTTTAGGTATAGTACCTGTTTTGAAGTAGAATACTTGTGTTTGGGTATAGTACCTGTTTTGAAGTAGAATACCTGTGTTTATGTACTGTACCTGTTTTGAAGTAGAATACTTGTGTTTGGGTATATTACCTGTTTTGAAGTAGAATACCTGTGTTTAGGTATAATACCTGTTTTGAAGTAGAATACCTGTGTTTGGGTATAGTACCTGTTTAGGTATAGTACCTGTTTTGAAGTAGAATACCTGTGTTTGGGTATAGTACCTGTTTTGAAGTAGAATACCTGTGTTTGGGTATAGTACCTGTTTTGAAGTAGAATACTTGTGTTTAGATATAGTACCATATGAAAACAGCAAACATAGCGCGCTGGATTATTAAATACAAGATGTATTAATAACTTTATACTTGAAAAAAACAACAACTCAGAGCCATTCTATGAACCGCTATACCTATACGTATTTCTTATTTATAGGTGGCGAACTGTCTGTTGCTCGGGTAACATTTAATCTACGTTATAAATGAAGGCGTCGTCCTTCTAAGACCAGGATAAAAACATTGACTTTAATCAAGGGTATTGGAACGTATATAACAGTAAGCTTAAAAACATAACGAACCCCTGTAAAGGTATATTAACCCTGAAATTACCGCCTGCTTACCATGTAAGGGTATATAGATACTACATTAACCCTGAAATTACCAACTGTTTACCATGTAAGGGTACATAGATGCTACATTAACCCTGAAATTACCAACTGTTTACCATGTAAGGGTATATAGATACTACATTAACCCTGAAATTACCGACTGTTTACCATGTAAGGGTATATAGATACTACATTAACCCTGAAATTACCGACTGTTTACCATGTAAGGGTATATAGATACTATATTAACCCTGAAATTACCAACTGTTTACCATGTAAGGGTATATAAATACTACATTAACCCTGAAATTACCGACTGTTTACCATGTAAGGGTATATAGATACTACATTAACCCTGAAATTACCGACTGTTTACCATGTAAGGGTATATAGATACTACATTAACCCTGAAATTACCGACTGTTTACCATGTAAGGGTATATAGATACTACATTAACCCTGAAATTACCGCCTGTTTACCATGTAAGGGTATATAGATACTACATTAACCCTGAAATTACCGCCTGCTTACCATGTAAGGGTATATAAATACTACATTAACCCTGAAATTACCGACTGTTTACCATGTAAGGGTATATAAATACTACATTAACCCTACTACATTATGTGTCCCCTGCCGACCAGGGGCTATCGAAAACCGATTTTTAGCATTGTAAGCTCGCAGACTTATTGTTGAGCCACCAGAGGGCTCATGACGTGTCATAACAAAATGTTGCCTCTACATTAAACACCAATGTTTGTATCATGTCATGTAAGATGAGATACTTACAACCAGTTTCCGGGCACGATAACTACTTGGTCACGCCCAGCTCTCTGAGATGAAAATAAACAACAAACAAACAAAAATCGTATGAGCGTTCTTTTGGAAAACAAAAATCAAGAATAACTTTTTTAGTTGTCACTCATTACCATAAGTCCAAATATGTTGAAGCTAAAAAAAAACAAACAAGCAAATTAAAGTGTTCCTTCCCATTTTATAACCTTCTTTTAACGGGTTTTCTTGTTCCTGATGTTTGGAAAGAAAGAAAATGTAAAAACTGTGAAACAGGGTTTTTACTTACTCTCCATGACAGTGCTTGTGAAACAAAATTTTCAATGGCTCACTTTATATTTTTCTCTGCTTTTTTTTTTTATAAGTCTGCTCACTCGCACGGCCATGATATATTTCCTGTCACTTCAATGAGAAAAACGTTTCAGGAGAACTATGGTTATAAACGTAGGAGATATAGAAGATTTTCAGCCACTTTTGTGTAGAAAGCATATTAGTTTGATGTAGCAAATAACATAAAGTTTTTATTTCTGTTTGTGTAAAATTTAAAAAAACGACGTACTAAACCTGAATGGAATTTCCACTCCTTCTAAGAGTTCGTAAATTGTTCGTTACTGTTTCTGTAGGCAGAATTGCTGAGAATTTCACAGTGTTTAATACAGATTCATTCTGAACTGAATATATTCACGGAGAAAGTACAGGAAATTAGGTTACGCTGGTGGCAAGCGGCGATATTCATCAAAGGAACAATGTTATTACTCTGAACTGTTCTAGAACATTTATCATAATCTAATCCTAATCCAGGGATTACTGGATGTTCTTAGGATTAATACTTTTCTTAAAACAAATGATAATAGGCTTCTTTTTTGTTTTTTACTAATTAAAACCTGAAAGGAAGAAATTTGAAATTAAAATTGTTGTTCGTTAATTTTGATCATCTTACAAATGATAGTTATGGTTCGTGTATTTTACTACAGGGTCGTTGGTCATCTTACAAATGTTAGTTATGGTTCGTTTATTTTACTACAGTGTCGTTGGTCGTCTTACAAATGTTAGTTATGGTTCGTGTATTTTACTACAGGGTCGTTGGTCATCTTACAAATGTTAGTTATGGTTCGTTTATTTTACTACAGTGTCGTTGGTCATCTTACAAATGTTAGTTATGGTTCGTGTATTTTACTACAGGGTCGTTGGTCATCTTACAAATGACAGTTATGGTTCGTGTATTTTACAGGGTCGTTTCCTTCAAGCGCTCAAGCACTATCGAACGGCTCAGAATTTGGACCCTCAAAACCCAGTGGTTCTAGAAAACCTGGACAAGCTGAAGAAGAAGCTATGGGAAAAGTCAGAGCGGGAGTGTGCTGAAGAGAGCGAGTTTTGTCGAACTTGGTAAAAAACTTTTTCACGTGAGGGGGCGCTGCTTTCTTTCAAAAAGTAAAAAATAAAACAGAACTGGAAGACACCGCTTAAAGAAACTGTAATGGCGTCTCGTAGAATTTTTTTTTCTATAAATATGTAAGTGGCTGTTTCTATAAGAGACTTATTCACTACAGTCAGGGTAAAGATACTGTTATATTGTGGTTCCTTTCACTTTAATTATGTACATGTGTGTCTGTTTGTTTTCGACATTGAGGGACTTAGTTCCTATAATGATGGACGTGCTATCTATGCAAACATCACGAGTCGCATGACGTCATGTCCAGCTGTAGTATTTGTATGTGACGTGTAAAATAAACGTATACTCTACATTGGTTTCTATGTCTCTTCCTTGACTTCCTTCTCATCTATATACTGCTTGACACGAGGAGTGATTATAATGACACGTTTTGTAGTTAAAGTTTAAAGTTCATCTCTAAAATGAAACCGTTAACTTAAATCGATTTTTTTAATCTCACGATATTCTATTTTTTTGTTACTTATCTTTATTTCCACCTGTTCTTTCGGGCCAGAGTTTAAAATGTAAGCCATTATTATTATCAAAACTAAACAGGTACATAGAATCTTTAAAACTTCCACACAAAGCCGGTGAAGACGCTTTTATAAATCTCTTTATAATTTATAACCGTCTTTTTGAATCAATTTTTTTATTCAACTTGTCGTTGGTAATCCGGTTTTCTTTGTCATTCATCGAAATACTTCATTTGTCAGTTTCTTTTTTTATTTTTATCTTTTACACGCTACCTTCCTCGTTACAGAACTACCGTTCCTCCCTCCTCTACTTCAATCTTTTTTTCCTGCCCTAGAGTCGACATTTGTAGGGGGGGAGGAGAATCGAAGAAGGAAAAAAAAAAAGTGACTATTTGCTGACGTGGCAGAACTGTTCACCAGTGTGAAGCTTTCGAGAAAAAAAAATATCGATTTAACAAAAACGTTTTCAGTAAAATACTTTAGCTTATATTTACCGGAACTTATGTTTCGGCCCCGTGCAATCCTCTCTCTCTCTCACTGCTGTATTATGGATTAGTCAAGCTTGAAGGATAAAACGACTAGGAGAGAATTCCTACGGAGAGCTTGGTATTATATAAACCTTCGTTCTTTATAATACCTTCACATAGGCTTCACGTTCGATTGGAATAAGATCATTATTATTCAGATGGAATACAAATACACTTAACACTGTCAAATTGAGAAATGTATGTTATATTAAACACCTACGTATGTAATTTGTATAATGAGACAGGTTCTGTGGACATTATAAACGATTTATTAGAACAGCAAATAGTTTTATCAAACACCTGTAGAAAGGTGTGTAATTCGGGCATTTCACTTATCACAACAAAACCTTACCAAAACATATATATGATGACAACAAAACCTTACCAAAACATATATGATGACAACAAAACCTTACCAAAACATATATGATGACAACAAAACCTTACCAAAACATAATTATG